GTATGTTAATGGGTTGTCAGTATGTTAACTGAGTGTCTGTGTGAACGTGTTGAGGAAGGTCATTGTGTTAGCGGGTTGACGTAGGTCAGTATGTTAACGCGTTGATTGAGGTAGGTCTGTATGTTAACAGGTTGGCTGTGTGGTAACGGGGTGTCAGTAAGTTAACGTGTTTAGGTAGGTCTGTTTGTTTGCGGGTTGAGGTAGGTCTGTGTGTTAACTGGTTGAAAAAGTTGAGTATGTTAACGGGTTGAGGTAGGTCTGTATGTTAAGGGGTTGAGGTAGGTATGTATGTTAACGGGTTGGGGTAGGTCAGTATGTTAACGGGTTGAGATGGGTCTGTATGTTAATGGGTTGTCAGTATGTTAACGGATTGTCTGTGTGAACCTGTTGAGGTAGGTCATTGTGTTAGCGGGTTGAGGTAGGTCAGTATGTTAACGCGTTGATTGAGGTAGGTCAGTATGTTAACGGATTGAGATCGGTCTGTATGTTAACGGTTTGTCAGTATGTTAACGGGTTGAGGTAGGTCTGTATGTTAAAGGGTTAAGGTAGGTCTGTATGTTAACAGGTTGGGGTAGGTCTGTATGTTAACGGGTTGAGGTAGGTCAGTATGTTAACGGGTTGTGGTAGGTCAGTATGTTAACGGGTTGTGGTAGGTCAGTATGTTTACGGATTTAAATCGGTCTGTATGTTAACGGTTTGTCAGTATGTAAACGGGTTGAGGTAGGTCTGTATGTTACCGGGTTGAGGTAGGTCTGTATGCTACCGGGTTGAGGTAGGTCTGTATGTTAACGGGTTGCAGTAGGTCTGTACGTTAACGGGTTGAGGTAGGGCTGTATGTTAATGGGGTGAGGTGGGTCATTATGTTAACGGGTTGGGGTAGGTCAGTATGTTAACGGGTTGTGGTAGGTCTGTATGTTAACGGATTGAGATCGGTCTGTATGTTAACGGTTTGTCAGTATGTTAACGGGTTGAGGTAGGTCTGTATGTTAAAGGGTTGAGGTAGGTCTGTATGTTAACAGGTTGAGGTAGGTCTGTATGTTACCGGGTTGAGGTAGGTCAGTATGTTAACGGGTTGTGGTAGGTCAGTATGTTAACGGGTTGTGGTAGGTCAGTATGTTAACGGATTGAGATCGGTCTGTATGTTAACGGTTTGTCAGTATGTAAACGGGTTGAGGTAGGTCTGTATGTTGCCGGGTTGAGGTAGGTATGTATGTTACCGGGTTGAGGTAGGTCTGTATGTTAACGGTTTGTCAGTATGTAAACGGGTTGAGGTAGGTCTGTATGTTAAAGGGTTGAGGTAGGTCTGTATGTTAACAGGTTGGGGTAGGTCTGTATGTTACCGGGTTGGGGTAGGTCTGTATGTTTCCGGGTTGGGGTAGGTCTGTATGTTAACGGGTTGAGGTAGGTCTGTATGTTACCGGGTTGAGGTAGGTCAGTATGTTACCGGGTTAAGGTAGGTCAGTGTGTTAACGGGTTGAGGTAGGTCTGTATGTTAAGGGGTTGAGGTAGGTCTGTATGTTAGCGGGTTGAGGTAGGTCAGTATGTTAAGGGGTTGAGGGAGGTCTGTATGTTACCGGGTTGAGGTAGGTCTGTATGTTAACAGGTTGGGGTAGGTCTGTATGTTACCGGGTTGAGGTAGGTCAGTATGTTAACGGGTTGAGGTAGGTCTGTATGTTAACGGGTTGAGGTAGGTCTGTATGTTAACGGGTTTGGGTAGGTCTGTATGTTACCGGGTTGAGGTAGGTCTTTATGTTACCGGGTTGAGGTAGGTTTGTATGTTAACAGGTTGAGGTAGGTCTGTATGTTACCGGGTTGAGGTAGGTCTGTATGTTAAGGGGTCGAGGTAGGTCTGTATGTTAACGGGTTGAGGTAGGTCTGTATGTTAAGGGGTTGAGGTAGGTATGTATGTTAACGGGTTGGGGTAGGTCAGTATGTTAACGGGTTGAGATGGGTCTGTATGTTAATGGGTTGTCAGTATGTTAACTGAGTGTCTGTGTGAACGTGTTGAGGAAGGTCATTGTGTTAGCGGGTTGACGTAGGTCAGTATGTTAACGCGTTGATTGAGGTAGGTCTGTATGTTAACAGGTTGGCTGTGTGGTAACGGGGTGTCAGTAAGTTAACGTGTTTAGGTAGGTCTGTTTGTTTGCGGGTTGAGGTAGGTCTGTGTGTTAACTGGTTGAAAAAGTTGAGTATGTTAACGGGTTGAGGTAGGTCTGTATGTTAAGGGGTTGAGGTAGGTATGTATGTTAACGGGTTGGGGTAGGTCAGTATGTTAACGGGTTGAGATGGGTCTGTATGTTAATGGGTTGTCAGTATGTTAACGGATTGTCTGTGTGAACCTGTTGAGGTAGGTCATTGTGTTAGCGGGTTGAGGTAGGTCAGTATGTTAACGCGTTGATTGAGGTAGGTCTGTATGTTAACGGGTTGGCTGTGTGGTAACGGGGTGTCAGTAAGTTAACGTGTTTAGAGTTAGATAGGTCTGTTTGTTTGCGGGTTGAGGTAGGTCTGTGTGTTAACTGGTTGAAAAAGTTGTGTATGTTAACGGGTTGAGGTAGGTCAGTGTGTTAACGGGTTGGGGTGGGTCAGTATGTGGACAGATTGAGGTTGGACTGATTGTTTACGGGTTGAGGTAGGTCTGTTTGTTAGCGGGTTGAGGTAGGTCTGTATGTTTAAGGGTTGAGGTAGGTCTGTTTATTAACGGATTTAGAGAGTCTTTCACAAGTCTACGACACCTCAGCTCGGTTCGCATCCCTCAGGCGTGCCTGCAGGTATGATCCTGGGTTCGAATCCCACATTTGACCTGATTATGCGTTTTGATTGTCAGCATCATACCCGTGCCCGTGGGTTTCAAAGTGATAAACGTTAGCTCCCACATTAAGCTCACACGCCGTGATATAACGGAAATACTGAGGCGTTATTGTCTTGTCAATTGACTAGCCCGCGCATGTGTTTGTGACGGGGGCCACCAATGGGACAGGATACGATCACCTTTTCGCGAACCCCAATATCTCTTTGATAGTGATTCATAAAGTCTTGCTTTTTGATATTGTCGGAATTGTACAACGGATGCAGCTTTTTGCAGATGTTTCTTATTATGGAGAGGGTTCTGTCACATAGCATCGAAATTCATCCCATCATTGATACCATTGGTCAGATCTCAGTGAGCACTCAGTGATTGCATCAGTTCCCTCTGTCGAGATATAGTGTCTGCGTGTGCCTGCATGCATGCCTGACTGTATAGGTGGAATTTTACATCAGTAACTTATCTTTAATGTGCCTTGCTTACTTCCAATATAGTGTACGTATGAGATATATAGACTATGTTGACTCGCATTGTATTAATGCAAAGGACATGCTTATCATATTTTTTAAAGTCTACACGTATTACTTTGTTTGGCACATTACAAACATGTGTATATATGTATGTATGTGTGTTTGTTGTTGAGCGCCGCACTAAGCAATATTCCCTGTAAATCATCGAGTCTGGATCAGACAACCCAGTGATTGACATCATGAGCATCGATCTACGCAGTTGGGATATGATGACATGCATCAACTAAGTCAGTGAAGTTGACCACCCGATCCCGTAAGTCGCCTCTTACGACAAGCATAGTCACCTTTTACGGCAAGCATGGGTTGCTAAAGACCTATTCTACTCCGGACACTTCACGAGACATGTATATATGAAGTGTAATTCAAAGGTTTCATTTGATATTCATTTACGCTACATAATTATTAGCAGGCGAACCTGTACGTTTAATTGCCTATGTGGGTGATATATGACACTTCACTCTTCTATTCATTCGTTTATTCTTTCAATCAGTACTTACCTTATCTTACCTCACCTTACACAGAGGCATTAGTGTCTTGCTTATTGACTTGCCTTTTGCATGTGTTTGTGATATATGCCCTGGATGGACAGGACGCGGTCGTCACCTTCAGTGACACATGAACACATGCTTATGATATGATCGGAACCAGCAGAGATATGTTACCCTGAAAAGGGTTTTATCCATGTGGAGGACTAATTGACTTGCCTTTGCATGTGTTTGTGATAGGTGCCCTGAATGGACAGGACGCGTTCGTCACCTTCAGTGACACATAAACACATGTTTATGATATGATCGGAACCAGCAGAGATATGTTACTCTGAAAAGTGTTGTATCTATGTGAAGGACTTGTCTGTTTAGTGGTGAATGACACTTCATCTATTCATTCCTTTGTTCATTCACTCACCACTAACCCGTTCGTTCACTTCACTCATTCAGGTGTGATTTACGCTTTTGCGCATTTATATTCACTGTTCGAAACCAGGATGTACACTTAACCTTGAAATTATTGGTGCATTACAATTTGTATAAGCTGGCAAGTGTTGTACTGTCGGGGACTGCAATCTCATCCGTTCTCGTACAACATGTTGTATACACATAAATAGACAATGCCTTTAAGAAAGTAACATATTTCATATTTGGAATACATTGTCTCAGTAAAGTACAAACTCAAGTTCTTTTTTCAGTGGATGTGTATTTTACAGATAAGACCCGTGAAGATCCGGGGTAAAATAGGTCTTCAGCAACCAATGCTTGCCGTAAACAGCGACTGTGCTTGTCGTTAGAGGCGACTGACGGGATCGGGTGGTCGGGCTCGCTGACTTGGTTGATGCATGCCATCGCATCCCAATTGCGTGGATCGATGCTCATGATATCAACCCCAGGATTGTCTGGTCCAGCCTAGATTATATACAAACAAACAAACAAAAACTTTACTGATAAAGTGTAATCCCAAATTACACTTCCCGTTGTTCGACTTCCAGTTTGGTGAAATCCCGGTGGCTTAGTGGGTCATGTCGCTGACCACTGTGTAGAGGCGATTAGGTGTCTCACTTTGAAAGTGTGGGTTCGAATCCCAGACCCTGTACTTTCCTGCGAAAGTGTTCGATTTGTATAAACACGTATATTGTGCTTGTTCCATATCAATAATTTTCATTGTTTACATTTCAGATATGAATAAACATCCCCAACGATGTCTCCAAAAGGAAATAATAAAATGAACTGAGATGAGCAAAGAAACGCCTATAAAAACTTTCAGTTGAATTTCTCGTCGTGGCGTTACCTCGCAAAGACAACAAGGACTGTTGTTGGAAATATTTCAACACGATAAGTCGTCCTCAAGGTTGTTTACTTGAATATATGCCGAAATTGTTATGGTAAACAATTACATCCTTTACCTACCGGGTCAAGTTGGACTGTGAAATAGTCCACGGAATTATAGCCACGATTGGTGCACGTTCTAATTTTCGGTGCCATCACTCGTCAGCTTGGTGGTTTGGGCATATACTTGGATAATACGATCGAAATAGTCTCAAGGGGTTGTTAATGTCGATGGTAAAAACACGAACAGACTGGCTTACGGAATGAGGGCAACGGAGACTTTGTTGTGAACAAACAAGTGTCATTCATAGGGACCAACCTGGGAGAACAATCGAGCTCTAGTGTGAAAAACCGGCGTTCGTGTACGCGCTTGCCATGACTCTTTTGTGAAAATTCTGCTTTCGTTGTAGCGAAACTGTTGTGTAACTGTTGTTCACTTATAACACGGAGATAGGAAGTGAATGTTCCCCGGACTTCGAGGAGGCAAGCATATCTCTCAGTTGCATTCATTTCCTCTTGTGTCTTACGTCCGTTTTATAAAGAGCTTCACACAAGAAGCGCTGCGCGGAGCACAGTTATCAGTGCATGAAGTGAGGGGCTCGTGTCATGGCCCGAGTGTGAGGTCGTGTGAGGTTGTGTGAGGTTGTGTGTTCAAGCCATGAGGCTGCCCCGCGGTGGGAATCTGTTCGGGAGGGGATCTTCCCCTGTCATTGTGACCCTCCTGGCGTGTGTTGTGACACTTCAGTTTCTACTGCTGACGCGACAACAACCTGGTAAGTACATCGTTTTGTTTTTATCTTGTAGTTAGGGAAATGTGAGGTGAGGTGAGGTGAGGTGAAATGGGGTTTAACGTCGCGTCTACGATTATTGCACTTATATAGCGACGTGCATGTACGTGTGTTTGTTTGTGTGGCTGCTTGTACTAGTCCGGACTGATGCCGATATATACTGCTAGCTCACTGAGATACCATGCCGCAGTTTAACATGAATATCCCACTCAGACACAGTATACCGACCAGTCCTTGTTTTAGCTCCTTAATGCCGAGCGCCAGACAGGGTAACAACAAGTACCATATTTTAACGTCTTTTGGTATGACGCGGCCGGGGATGGAACCCCGGACGATAGGGAAATGTACATGGCAGTTGTTTGATTACACCATGTACACATCAATGGCATTCAATTAAAGTATGACCTCTCTCGATAAGCGACAAACTTACTGTGTCAATACTAAACTGTTCACAAACTATAAGTCTTTATAATACTGAATATTTGGTTATTAGACCCGTGAAGATCCGGGTAAGAATAGGTCTTCAGCAACCCATGCTTGCCGTAAAAAGTGACACTGTGTGTGGTAAGAGGCGACTGACGGGATCGGGTGGTCAGGCTCGCTGACTTGATTGATGCATGTCATCGTATCCGCCATCTTCCCGAGTCAAGGGAGTTAACTGACTTTAAAAGTCCAGTTTCTACACTTGCCGAATAAGGCTGGAATTCCTGGGCTCACCCGTAGCGCCACCAGTGGTTATTACGAGTTATGTCCCTTCTAAGCCTCTCATATGGACCAATCAGATTCCACCTCTCGTATCACTTGCATTTGCTTCAAACCAAATGGCGGCGTCCAGTCAAAACGATCTGATCTATCAAGATCTATATTGTGATAAAACGAGTCTTACATAGCGAAGTGCATCAAATCACCTGAGCACCTTGATTAAAAACATGAAAAGACTTGGAAAATATCTGTTGACAACGAGTTGGCGGTGCACATGCTTTGCAAATCCTCCATAATACCTGCCTAGTTCGGCAAGGGTGGAAACTGGACTTTTATAGTCAGTTAACTCCCTTGCCTCGGGAAGATGCGTATCCATAATCCCAATTGTCTGGATCGATGCTTATGATGTCAATCACTTGATTGTCTAGTAGAGACTCAATTATTTACATACCGCCGTCATACAGCTGGAATATTGCTGAAGGCGGCGATAAACAATTAACAAACAAAACTTAGTTATTTGTACAGTGGAAAATCTCTCGTCACTTCAAAATAGACATGTGAAGAAGTGTAAATGTTAAGGTATTGGAAATACCAACATAATATTCGGCCATTCGTCTAATCACTGTTTTATCATAACAAATTCATTGACAAAGCCCATACTTGGTAACAGGAGGGAGCGACATACCCTAAAAGAGGAATGGTGCAACAACTCAATAAACAATGCGACCACCATTTGCGCATCTTCCCGAGGCAAGAGAGTTAACTGACTTTAAAAGTCCAGTTTCCACCCTTGCCGAATTAAGCTTGAATTACTGGGCTTGATCGTAGCGCCACCAGTTGCTATTACCAGTCATGTCCCTTCTAAGCCTCTACTATGGACCAATCAGATTCCACCTCTCGTATCACTTGTGTTTGCTTCACACAAAATGGTGGCGCCCGGTCAGTTAGATCTGATCGACAATCAAGATCTATATTCTGATAAAACGGATCTTACATCGCGAAATGCATCAAATCACGTGAGTACCTTGATTATAAACTTGAAAACATTTGGAAAATATCTGCTGACAACGAGATGGCGGTGAACATGCTTTGCAAATCCTGCAATCGACCGAAATCTGTACAACAGTGTACGAACCGGATTTCGATTTCGGTGCGCGATTTTGATTGGACTGTGCATAGATTCGTTAGTCCAGCCAAAATGTAACTCCATAATACTAGCCTAGATCGGCAAGGGTGGAAACTGGACTTTTATAGTCAGTTAACGCTCTTGCCTCGGGAAGATGCCATTTGCGTTGATACAGGCGAGACTAACACAAATAATATATATTTTTGATAGGAACAAGCAACTACATATAAATGTATGAAATGGAGCCCCAGTGAGATGGGAAATTTAGACCCTGAACCTGGGGGGAATCTAGACTTGCTTTATTTAGGGCTACAGCATCACAGTAAGGGTTGGGCGAGAGGGACTGTGAGACAGACTGCAGATGAGGCAGCGGCGGCGCCTTGAAGATACCAGATGCCGGGGGATGCTGTTCCAAATGTAAACCAAAGATTGGTCTTACTGAGCTAGCATCACCCGCTGGTTCTGATCCCGTCGTAGGCGTCGCACTTTCTCATCCCAGACATCAATAAGAGAAAAGTGTTGCAGCAATAGCAATGTTCTGCTGCCTTAAAAATCTGTTACAACACGAGCAACATGTGGGCGGGCATTATTGTGTTCTTCCATGAGTTGTAATGCCACCCCATATCGTTGCACTTCCACCACCAACGCCGTGGAGTAGCACAAGCGTCGCGAAAGCATTCTCCTGGACGCCTGTAGGTCCTTGCATGACCATCAGAGCTGTCCACGTGCAACCTGCACTCATCTGTTAACAGTATACTCTATATGTAAAACACATAATGAGAGTAATAATTTCAGTATAACCGTTTCCATGACGAATGTGGTATGCGTGATGTCTTCTTTCTTTCATAAAACAATCGTTTCTTGTGGCATTCAGTAATCAAGCTGTAACTTTGTGTCAAAGATCATTCTTTGAGGTACTGTCACGGAGCTGTGCTCCAATGATCAGGGGTGTCATTAAACTAGTCTAAAGTAATTAAAAAGGTAACCGGTTTTTTAAAGCGGGGAAGCGGTGCGGTCATAGGACCGCGCCTAGGCTAGTTTTACACCCGGTGACAGTACTCAACTTTGACCATTAATAACATTGTTGGGAAATAGAATATGTTGACTATAAGAGATTTTACATATTCCTTGATACTTTACATGGAAAGTTGTTACCATAACACTGCTGTGTGTGCGTGCGTGCGTGCGTGCGTGCGTGCGTGCGTGTGTGCATACCCGTGAAGATCCGGGGGAGATTAAGTCTTCAGCAACCCATTCTTGCCATAAAAGGCGACTTTCCTTGTCGTAAGAGGCGACTAACGGGATCGGGTGGTCAGGCTCGCTGACGTGTCTAGCCGGGAGAGCCACATTTCAGAAATGGCTATTGCCGGTAGAGCCACATTTTCAGCTGAGTGCATTTCACCTATTTTAGCGGGTAATTACTTAATCCGATTACCGATACCTTTATATGAGTGTCCCACATTTAAGTTACTAAGCGTGGTGTTCTTTAGCGATACCTTTAAATGAGTGTCCCACATTTAAATTATTAAGCGTGGTGTTCTTTAGAGATACCTTTAAATGAGTGTCCCACATTTAAATTATTAAGCGTGGTGTTCTTTAGAGATACCTTTAAATGAGTGTCCCACATTAGTTGGACTTTGAACGTGCAGCTCACAATGCCGTGACTGATGTATTTATTTCCTGGGACATTAGTTAGAGACATTAGTTAGAGGGTGTTTCTTTCACTTCACCCAATGTATCTGGAGGAGGGTGCAGAAAGAAGGTCTGATAATGGCCTATAAGGAAGATGAGGAGGTGAAGAAGCTGGTGAGAAGAGCTGCTGCCCTCCCTCTACTACCTCGTGACAAAGTGGATGATATGTGGCTTGATGCCATTGCTGACTCTCCTGCTGGCCCTAAAGTGACTGTCTTCATGGACTACGTGACAACCAGTTGGGTTCAAGGAGGGGCCTTCATGCCAGAGATTTTGAACCATTTCGAAAACCAAGGCCACCGTACCAACAATCACCTTGAAGTGTGGCACAACAAGATAAAGAAACTTGCCAAGAAGTGCCACCCGAACATCTAGGAGGTAGTGAAGCTATTTCAGCGAGAGCAGTCACTCAAAGAGGTTGCAGTCCTGAGACTCTCTCACCAGTGGTCAGAACCTTCACGAAGAAAGAAGTACAAGGCAATCGATGCACGTATTGCGTCCCTCAAGATCCAGCTCCTGAACCAACACCTGAGTGAGATGGAATATTCTGACCACGTGGGCGACCTCCTTCATCTGCAGTAATGACATTAAATCCATTATGATATTCATATGCTATTCATATTCATCAATGTAAAGTTTTGATGGATATGTTATCCTTGTTGAATAAAAAATGAGAAAACAAGACTTGTTTTGTTATATACGGTAACCTGTTAGAATCACAAAGCATGTTTTGACAGCATAACCGCGAGAGCCACATTATACAATCACGCAACCATAACCATTGCCGCGAGAGCCACATCAATTTGGGCTATCTATTTTCGAAATGTGGCTTTGCCGGCCTGTAACCTCGCTGACTTAGTTGATGTATGTCATTGAGCCCAATTGCGTAGATCGATGCTCATGATGTCCATCACTGGATTGTCTGGTCCAGACTCGATTATTTTTCGACCGCCGCCATACAGCTGGAATATTGCTGAGTGCGGCGTTAAACAACAAAAGAACTGTGTGAGCAGGTATGTGTGTGTGGCCAGTTGGTCAGTTTGCACAGTGTGTCAGACACAAGGACTGTATATAGAAGTTTTTAGTCAGTATATCTAAGCCATAGGCCCACACTGTAAGAATGTGCATAGAATGTTAACACATACAAGACATATTTAGGAATGTGTTTAAATCCTTAACGGTTTTCTACCAAAACTCGTTAAGTGTCTACCCACCTGAACTGAGCTATCTTCTCACAGCGGCGTGAGCCTAAATCCACCTCAGCACAATATTCCCATAATCTAAAGATGTTTAGAAATTAAGCATGTTTAAATAAAGAGCATAACATTGGACATTTTTGTAAGGGATTATGGTTGACGGGTGCGAAAGACTTACCTACTCTCATCGGTTTTGGCGTTCAAAACCCGAACCATGTTCATTAAGAACTGATGACCGAACTTCGTGGCCCTTACTTTCATCTGTGTAA